ATTTGGCTGAAAAATTCAATCGGTTGTTGAAAAATTATAAGAAAAATCATATTTTTCCCAAAACCCCAGATTTTTTTAGAAATCCTAGAGATTTCCCAGATTCTCCCAGATTTGTCCAGACTCATCAGAAAATCCTCCAATAAATTAATCCGTACCCAAAAAACCTAAGATTAAACTCAAAACACTTCCAAACGAACCCAAATAAAAAATTCACAATCCTAGAACTTTTATTCTGCCCAGAACATGCTTTCCTAGAACTGCAACCCCAAAATTTTTCAAATTTTCGCCGTGTCTCCTAGCACATTCCCTTTGTTCTTTTGTAGTGTTAGTTTGATTTTATAAGCATCCTTAGAAAAAAATTTTAGGAAACAGACAGAATTAATCTAGGCTGAATCCTGGGATTTGATTCCTGTTCGAATCCTACAATACCATGTCTAGGTTCATTGTTGCATTTCTTGGATTGATTGAAAAATCCCTTTGATTATGAATTAAAACCTTTTGACTGCATTGAATTTCTCAATTTTAGTTTCCTCGATTACTAGTCAAAGAGAAAGGAAAAGGAATAATAATAATAATAATAATAATAATAATAATAATAATACATACTATATCATATAATATATTAATATACTATACTATAATATAATATCAAATAATATAAATACACAAACTAAAACAAATCGATCCTAACTGACCTCGGACACATATGGATGTCTACAAAAGAGTATGGCAAGCTTAAGGAATTCAGCTTCATTAAAAAAAAGGATAAAAATTAAAAACATATGGCAATTAATAATAGTTTAATTCATGAAGAATTGATTTTAACTTATTAAAAATCTTCCCATACCTATAAGTCTGGCAAGAGTTCTTCCATTAGTGAACGTACCGGCCAAGTTGGAAGAGATTGTTGTTGCCACCTGTCAAACAATGATATCCCGAACACATACAGAGCCGGTACAAAGGGCCTTACTGTGAATTAGCAAGAAGATATGAAGGAAAGCAACTAAGAATACGTTCGACGAAATCAAGTTGCTCCTCATCTTTCCAAATGAAAATATTATTTGTGTAAGAAAAAGTTAGAAGAGTGGAACATCAAAGGCCAATTGAGCTTGAAAAGAGTGGAAAAAAAATTTTGATTATTAGTCGCAATGATGCATAGTTTTTTTCCCCTTAATGCATAGATTGTGGTTTAATCTTTTGACCTGAAATCAAATCAAGCCAGCCAGCATTTTCTTCTTCAGCGGAGAAAATATTTTTAATGACCAAGTATGCCAAGAATAGGACACAACTGAAATGAAAGTACAACCAACACCATACAGAATTTCATGAGTATCACATGAATTTTTTTATTTTTTATGAGATTTAATAATTAATTTGAAATTGTTTCATTCGAATTTTGTTTCTGTTTTCACTTCTATAATTATCTGCATCATTAATTATTGCATTCAAATGGAAAAAAAAAAAAAAGAAACCACAACAGAAACTTATTTTAAATTACTGACGAAATCAAATCGGATTATCAATCATATTTGACTCTTCATAATAATTAATTATTCATCAAGATATATCATTTCGTGTTCAAGGATGAGATTAAACCTCTTTCCAAGTAACAACAACTTGAGTATTTTAACTGATTCATTTTAAGCATTATAATACATATAATATCTAATTTGCATAGGCATCACTTAAGTAAAAAAAAAAAACCTTGCATTAGTTGGCAAACGAGTTGGCCATGAACGTGCTGAAAATGAGATGAGAACCCTACTATCTTCCACATAAAAATCATGATTAAGAAGGGTAAATCATAAATGTTTCATTTTATTACTTTTGTTTTCACATAAATAATTATTGATGTTAACATGCATGTGATGTGATTCGATGAGATATTCTTACTAAATGTTGCATGATTTCTTTTCCAAATTAAAATTGATAATCCTGTGATCGAATTATTGTAAACTTGTATACGTCTTCAAATATTAATTAACTAGCTGCTTTAAATTAAGAGGAAAGCAAACTGTACTGTCATTGATGCAATGACTTGCTATTGCTGAATAGAGTGTTTCGTTAAGATGACAAGCATAAGGGTTGGAGTAAAAAATGGTACGTCGCTTTCATATATTTTTTTATTATATTATTATACTATATTTAAAATTATCAAATTATTATTAAAAATTATTTAATCTATATATATATATATCATGGATAGAAAAGAGTTAGATAAAATTTTTTAGATGCAATTTTTTATTAAAAATAATTAAATAAAAATCAGAATTAAAACTCAAAATCGATAAAATAAAAATTTTTGTCATATAGATCAAATAAATACATTTTTTAAAAAATTAATAAATTATGATATATTTTTTAAATAAGTATTTTTAGTGAAAATTTTGACATTAATTTCATCATTAAATAAATATTAATCAAATTCAAATTATAAATAATATTTTCATTATTTTTTACATATTATTAATTTTTTATTTGAATTTTATCAATTTATTGTTTTTAAAATATTTAATTATAATTTTATTAAATTATTTTTAATAAAATTCTACCAACTGTATTTAAAATATTTTATTTAAATATTACCTCGTGGATATGGCAATTGTACATATTTTTCCCTTTGCATGTGCCGATTACAAAGGATAAAGTATAAATTTTTCTTTTATTACTTTTTGTTTCACATAAATATTATTGATGTTAACATTCTTGTGACGTGATTAGATGAGATATTGTTTTTAAATGTTGCATGCATTTCTTTCACTGCAAGTACTGGCCATGATTTGATAATTTTGATAGTCAAGAAAAAATTTATTTTGCTGCTATCTTTGGACGGTAAGTTGATTGAAGTAAGTAAGAAAAATGTCTAGGGCTAGCAATGGAAATCCAAAGTTCAAAGCAGTGTAGATATGTAGGGTGGCATGCACCTAGTTTGTCAAAAGTCATTACTCATTATTCGGATTAATGTCAATTATAGGTCTACTGCCAGCGAACATACTGCATCTTCCTTCAGTAGTGCATTTGTTGTGAGATCCATATATACTGCACCTTCCCTTCCCCTCTCCTTCTCTTCACTTCAAAATTCTTAAAATCTGTAGCGATTGTCCCGTCTTTCTTTCTCACACAACAGTTTGAAACTTTTAGCACCTCAATGGCTTTCATTTTTGCTAGTTGTCTTGGTTTGCTTAGTCTGTTTTTTCAGTGCTTCTATGTCATTCATATTTATTCTGAATCTTATTTACCACCTGATTTCAATAATAATCAAACTGCCTTCCTCCAATATCTAGCTTCCGAAAATTTGTCTCTTCGATTGCCAGCTCTATATGTTTTTGGGGACTCGTATATAGATGCTGGTAATAACAATTTTCTTGACACAATAGCCAAAGCCAATTTCTTACCATATGGTATTGATTTTGGAGGAGTGCCAACCGGTCGTGCCACCAACGGGAGAACCGTTGTGGATTTTATTGGTACAGGGATTGTATTTTTTTGTATTCCATGCTACTTGTTGCTTACTTTATATTGGCAAAAATATGATTTTTGGTTCATGTTGTATTTCTTGTAAGTTTGCTTTTCTCTGATTTCTGATATTCACTTTTAATGATGAAGCTCAAGTTGCTGGCCTGCCATTTCCACCCCCAATGCTCGGATTGTCTGAAACCGAGAGGAAAATCTTTGTTAGTGGTGTAAATTATGGCTCTGGTTCTAGCGGGATACTGCCTCTGCCTCCTCCTGCTGTGGAAATATTTGTGAGTTATCTTAGCCACAAAAATAAATTTGCAATTTTTCTTGCTTCAAGTTATTTTTCCTAATCACTATGTGAAATTTAGAGTAGCAAAACTTAAACTTCTGAGTACAATTGACCTTTTGTATATAATACTACACCAGGGACATATTTTGAGCTTCGATGAACAAATAGAGTTGTTGAACGACACAACAAGAAGCTTGAAGGGTCATTTTGACAGCCTGAAAGCTTTTCTCTCTACCTGTCTAAGTCATTGTTCTTTATACACATAGGGACCAATGACTTAGGCATATATTGGGATCTTGAACAAAAGCGAAAGTTCCGAACTGCAGAAGATTATGCACTCTTCTTATCGGAGGAGTTGTCCGGTAGATTGGAGGTAAATGACTGTTTTAAATTTATCTTTACATAGTATTGAAATTGTATATTCAATTTTAATACATTTTTAATGATCATGATGCAGGCAATATACCAACTGGGAGCAAGGAAATTCCTGGTTAACAATGTTTCTCCATTAGGCTGCCAACCTTTCAATCTGAACACAAAAATGCACAATACTTCCTGTGTTGAAGATGTTAACCAGAGAATAGCTTTCTACAATGGACTCCTTCCCAACTTGTTGACAAAGTTGGAAACATCCTTGAAGGGTTCCACATTTGTGCTGTGTGATCTATAAAGTTGTTTGAAGATGTTTACACTCAACCAGCGGCATATGGTGAGAATTGTTAGGAAAAGAATAACACACCAAAATTTTTCCTCTTATTTAATAAAATATTAATGAAACATTTAGTTCATTTGTTCTTTGTTAATGCAGGGTTTAACGAATGTCAATGGTTCTTGTTGCATTGACGAAGCGAGGAATGGAACTAGAGGATGCCCCAGAAATGTTGCTCCTTGCGCTGACAGAACGAGCCATGTCTTCTTTGACCCTTCCATCCGACCGAGAGTTTTCATTTCATTTGGATGAGGCGCTTTTTGAAGGACCACTCCGTCTGTTCTCCATTTACCTTGTTTGAGTTAATGCAACTTTAAGGATCTTCTCTAGGAGTACTGTTTATTTACTTTCAGTTAATTTCGAATGATTTAATTTTAAGAATGTAGTGAAACAATGTTGTTGGAAGTTGTGTTTTAAAGCTTATCAGATCACACTCTCATTACTCATTGTCTTTAAGTGGTTCAAGTCATTTCACATTGTTGCAAATATGATGCTTTATTCCCTTTTTATGCTTAGCTTGATGCGAACAAATCATAGATACCATCAATCAGTTACTTTTGAAGCAGCCCCTGCTCAAAAACAGACCCAGCTGCTAATAAATATTCTAATTTGATTCTTAGTCTTCTCTTTGGCATAACTAGATTTTAGGCAATTTGCTAATTTTTTTTTCAATAATTAAAATTCTTTTATCAGAAAAAAAAAAAAAAAAGGCAGGGAAAACTTGCTACAAAGAGCAATGGAGTTGTACCATGACAGGTTACAAAACCAAAAGAAAAAAGACAACTGCATCATCTGAACAAACCAATTAGCTATCTACTCTTCAATCTGAAAACCAAATGACTGGTTTGACACTTTAAAGTCTTCATACCCCACTGAAATTCTTCACCCAATCCCCAGCCTGTCTTGTCAACAAGGAGACTTGCAACACTTTTTAATAAAAAATTAAAAGTAAACACTTTTTACGCTTTTTATGCTTTCTCGGACTGAACTTCTCAACAATGGATATTTTAATAAAAATTAAGGTAAAGCAATTAATGTATACTGATCTGGTTCATGAATAACATAACTAAGCGGTCTTTTATGTTATTATCAATGGACTGCCAAGAAAGACAACATGCAATTCTTCTTATTGAATTAAGCATTTCTTTCTCTTTAAAGGAAAAAAGGAAAAAAAAATTGAAGGGCCAAGTCTTACTATGAAATTTATTCTGTTATGTTGGCATTAAGAAAGCATAAGACACATGGTCAGATTTAAGATTGTATTAGCTGAATCAAGTTGATGGGAGAAGAAACTGATGAATCCTTTAAGAGACGCCTTGCCCATATGAAATGCATACTCTCGCTTGGGTGCATTGGGTCGAAGAAAACATGGCTACTTCTGTCTTTGCATGGTGCTACATTTGCAAGACATGGTTTAGTTAAACCTTTATCTATTTCAGTACAACAACTGCTCCTTACATCGGTAAATCCTGCAGAAAGAAAAAGAAAAATATATCTTTTAATCTCAAATGTTAAAGCAAAAGAATTACTAAGGTTTGATCCCAAACACCAAATTTGATGGAACATTTAATTACTTACAATTAAGTAAATCTATTTTCAATCACAATGTCAATTTGGGCCTAAATATTGAATAATACTCACCATACCAGGTAGGCGATGCATAGACATCTTGAAAAATTTTATATAGATCTCCAAGAACAAATTTTGATCCCGAAAGGGTGGATTGCAAGTCTTTTAATAAATTAGTCAGGCGTTTGTTAAATAACAATGCCCGGTTGTTGGCTAAGTAGTCGCATTCTGGTCCATTCCTACCTCCACTTATTAGATGCGGCTGACATCCTATTGGAGATGCATTATTCACCACAATTTTACGTGCACCAAGCTGATATAATCTCTATATATGTGTAAAAACAAAAACAAAAACAACAAATTTGGTGTTAAATGGTTGCCACTAATTGCCAAATATAAAAGAAAAAGGAAAAAAATCCATCTCTATAATTAGGTCAAGGCAATCATCTAATTAATTTGAGGTTACATCTGATAATTCATGCATTTGTGTCATATATGTTTCATGTTAAGCACGTACAAAATATAAAAATTGTTGTGTTATAATTTCTGTGAATATTTTAAATATAAGATATATTTTTTAATTTTTATCAAATTTATATATTTTTTTTAATTTTAAACTGTATTGCTTTTATATATTTTTCATATCGTTTACATATTATGTATAAAATTATCAAAAGATTTAGAATATTTTAACATTGGTTCTGACTAATTTACCTGTAAATGCTTGGATAAGTCTTTTATGAGAAGTTGAATATAATAGTTCTCATCATAGAAATAGCGCAGTCCATCCCACTCGATATCCAAGTCATACGCAACACTATTGATAAAAAAAGTGATTTTGACAAGTATCTAGAAAACTTTCCTTGCTTTGAAATTGACTCTGCAACCCTTTTGTTGTGCTCTCGAACAAATCTACTTGCTCCTTCAAGCTTGGCATTCGTTCCTGATGAAATTACAAATTCTACTTAAGAAAAAAGAGTGTTTGATAATACAATATGTCCAAGAAAAAAAAAACAACAATATATGAAAGAAAAATTATGCAAATTAGGGTGTCTTACAAACAGTTTTCCAAATTTTTCAAGGATGCCAGTGAAACCGCAAGCATAATTTATACCAGTTTGAGGAATTCTCTTGTCTCCCTTAGACAAGCTTAGCACAGGAGGAGGGAATGGCAAGCCAACAATTTGAGCTGCATAATTATATTAATAAAAAATAAAGTAATCAATAATTTTTACACGAGAGTAAAAATTGAGGACAACACAAAAATCAATAACTTGTAATTCATTAATTTTTTATTTTCATACCAATGAAATCCGCTACTGTTCTTCCGTTGGTGTAACGACCCGTAGGTTTTCCACCAAAATCTATTCCATATGGAGTATAATTTCTTTCAATTTGCGGGACATGAACATAATTATTATTTCCCGCATCAACATAAGAGTCTCCAAATACGTATAAAGCTGGCACATCAAAGTTGATGTTCTCTAAGGATAAATATTTCAAAATAGATTTTTTACTTATTATAAATGGAGGTACTGTAACAACATCTGCAGAACCCAGTGAGAAGAATTGATATTGAAGCAAGAGGAAGAAAATGAAAATGCAATTGATTATTTTCATGATCTTTTCTTGACTAGGAAAAACAAAAGTTGGTATTGTACTATTGATTTATTTATGTACTTTAAATTAGTATTTATAGTGAGCATTTGCCTTTTCGGTTTACAATGTTCAATGTCGACATTCCAAAATTAATAACTTTACGTTACTTGCTTTTAACAAGCTTTAAATGTTATAAGGTTCGTTTTTGAACAAATAATCATGATAATTACTCTTTTTTGCCAAATATATCAAGCCTTCCATTTCATAATATTTTATTATTAAAATATGAAAAATAATTATACAACAATATTTTTAATATTTCAAAATTAAAATTAATAAAAAAAGATGAGAACAGAACAAAGAAATACCTTTCGTGCTATTGCTCGTTCTTACTATATATGCTGTGTTAGTTGGCCCTTTTTCTTTTATTAGCAATAAAAACAAAAGTTGTTCTGACTACTTACAAGCAATGAGAAAGAGAAGTAAACTTTTAAATATTCAACTTAAAATCAATTGGCACAAAGAGAAGCCAATCGATTTTAAGTTAATTGTTTAATAGAAACGCTGACATATATTCATTGGCAAATAAGAAAAGGGACATAAGCATACACCATCGGGGAGATACGGCCATGGAAGGTAGAGAATCTATATCGAAATAGGCACTATAAATCTGGCATTCTAAAATACAGTAAGATGATAAGAATCGAACAAAATACAAAATAAAAACATAAAAATAATATGTAATTTTCGTATAAAATATTATATGAATTTTAATATTTTACACAACACGAATATATGAATAGCAAAGTATACTCAAAATGAATCAAAAAGAAAAAAACCCATTATTAAAATACTAAAATGCACTTAACCAAGGCATAAAACACATGAGAGTGCAGCGGTGAGGAGAGGAACTGAGAGAAAAAAAAAAAAAAAAGGAAAGTGGGAGTGTAGCGATGGCTGTGGCTATGGAAGGATGACAAATTTCTTTTGTTTTAGGGTGCTTTGGGGCTGTTAAGAGATCATGTAGCAAAGTTGAGAAAAGCGAAGAAAATTAGGGTTTGGGTGAAAAAGAAGACAAGCTTATGTGAAAAATTGTTTAAAATAACTTACATGGCTGCTTACGTGACCAATTTGGTCGTATTAAAATTTAGTAATCAATTTTGGATTTTGGTGATAGAAGGTGACTAGAGGTGAAATTTACTCTCAATTTTAAAAGCAAAATTTGTCGTAGTTCTCAGGTTTTTGGAGAGTGGAATCTAATAAGCTTTAGCCTTTAGGTGTCAAAACTTTGTATAATCGTCATCTTATTTTTATAGTAAAATTTTTCATCATCTTTGTCCGTGGACATCGGTTTAAAGCCAAACCACAAATTATTGTTTGTTATTTTCACAAATCATTTTCTTGTTGCGAGTTCAAATTTTTTTATGGTGAATTTGCCTGCTGTCATTTTGACTTGCTTGGATTAGTTACAACAAACTGATAGCAGAGCTTGGTTCAAAGAAGCCAAGGAATCTTGTACCAACTTGATTCATGGTAGAGTAGCAAATCAATATTACACAACTATAAAAGCTTGTATATGCCATAATGTATAAATTTGTAAACTCACCGCTAGATATAATAAGAGAAGTGGTTACTAATATTTTTTATCTAGGTGCGATTAATCAGTTAATTGAATTCGTCCCATTTTAAAGCGAAGTCTCAAGTTTGACTTAGGTATCTTTAAAAGATAGGTTCTAATCCACACAACTAGATTTAGGTCTAGGAATACGGTTACGTTCGAGGAAGGTTTTAGTACCCTTACAACTCCCATCCAAAGGATGGTACCAATTTGATTTTATATTATCCAAGCCTTAAAATGTATTTGTAATTTTACCAAATAAATTTAATACTGAAACTTGATCTTAAAGTTATTAGAATTATTCGGTAGTAATTTAAGATAATTTTCTTATCTCGGGAATATTTGTGGAGACTCGTATCCCACTCTAAAAGGACTCCGTCATCGAATTCATTAATATGTTTTTCAAGAAATTAATATTTGAAAACAATCAATAAAATCCTCTAATCATTTGGTAAGATTTTATTTTGATGCACATTTCCTAATAGTTTGATCAGATTTTTATATAAAAACTTTTCCATGAAATTTTTTTAAAAAGTCATTAAATATTCCAATAGTTTGGTAAGATTTAATTCCATATTTAAATTCTCCATTCATTTAGTAGGATTAAAATTTTTCTTTTCTCAAAAATTCATATGAAATTCTCCAATCATTTGGTTTAAATTCACATTCAAGATTTAATTCCTCCCAATCATTTGATAGAATTAAAAATTTTAATTTTCACAAAAAATTTATTTTGAAATTCTCCAATAATTTGGTAGAATCCATAATTTAAAATTAAATTCTCCCCAATCATTTAGTAGGAAAAAAAACTATTTTTTAAAATTCATTATGAAAATTTTCCAATCATTCAAGTATGATTGACTGAAAGTGTGAGGTAAGTAGACCTGGTAGCGATAGGTTGATAGGGGTAAGGTGCTACATTTTCCAACAAATGGATCAATGATTATTGGATACAATGGTGTGATATTGGTAAACTCTGAAATATTGATTATCATAGCTTCACAGCTTGAGTTTTCATTCAAAATCCAAAATTTTCCTTGTCATTCAATTATTTCTTTTTTTTTTCACTAGTTATTTTATCTCTCATCTCACTAAGAAATTTGCCAGATTCTTGATGCAATTTTCAATTTGTCTAAACCAGCTTCAATGTAATAATTGATGGTGAGTTTTTTTAGTGGGGTTCTTAGATGGTCAAGCTATCCTTAAATTTTTGCATCGTAATTTATGATTAGAATGATGTCTAACTACAAATTTATGCAAAAAAAAAGAGAAATTATAAATGTATGAATAGATACATGCTCTGAATGCTATCACATAATAAGAAAGAAAGAAAAAAAATCCTTAATTAAAAATTAAAAATTATTCTGACAATTATATAAAAAATTTTTAAAAAAATCCTAAAATCTATTGTCTAGTTTTATACTTCAACTTTAAGTTCCTGGTGCTGCTGTGGATAAGTTCTTCAGCCATTATGATTGGGCAATGACTTCTTAACAATCTTAGGCTCTCCTTCATCCTCAAAACTCAATAAGCTAATTTTGATCAAACTTTGCACTTTATGTTTCAAGGTAAGGCAATTTTCTATCAAATGGCTTATATTCCTGAAATGATAATCATACCAAGTATTAGCATCATACCACTTAAGATAAGGAGGTTTTAGTGGCTCTAATGAACTAGTGTGACATATAGGTTTAGAGAAGTAGTGGGAATAACTCATTTTAAGTCATAGAGATTAGATCAATGATGGCTCTTTCTTTCTTTTTACTCAATGATTTTTTTGGGGTAAGCTGTGGTTAGACTTACAAGTGCAGGTCTTGGAGTAGAATTAGGTGTATATGCTTAAGGGTTCATTGGAAAACTTGATTGTTGGATTGGCTGATGAGCATTATTCATAATTGGGACATAGTATGGGTTTGGGCCAATCTGTGAAGGTTGAACGAAAGCAAGTATTGTTTCAGGTGCCAACAATGGTTGTTGAGGTTAGGGATAAAGATTTGAGTATGAGCCAATCTGGAAGGTCAACACAAAGTTAGAAAGCCCTATATCTTTTCAACTTGGTCTTTTTTTGGGCCATCAGATGCATTAGCATGACTTGCACCAACATCAGTATTGTGAGAAGCTTTTTTATCTTGGCAACGTGGTTTTTTAATGTACACACGAATTGGAGTTGGTGACAACTCTTAAGAACGGGCCACTTTAAGATTTTTAACCCTTTCCACTAGCTTGGCAAGTTGTATTTTCACTTCTCGTAGGTCATGCCCCAAATTTTCTTGGTTGAGTTCGAATGCCTAAATCCATATTTCTAATTAATCATCCATGTCTTCTAAATTGCTGCCCTAAATAAAGCAAAAGATTTCTATGATATGATGAGTGTATTACATGGATAATGATGACCTATGAATGAGTAAGATTCATGAAATGAATGAAAATAAATAAATTAACAAATAAACAAATAAATAAATAAATAAATATGAACCTAGTGATGTTAACATGATTCATGCAAAAAGGAAGTAACAAATAAGAATAAAGTTAACATCCAATATAAAGAACAAAAAAGATAAAACAAGTTAGTACACAACTCACATATAACGAAAGATATATGACCTAAATGGATTATCTTTACAAAAGGAAAGACATGGCTCTACCTATTGGTTAAGCCCATTATGGCTCACTATATGTGATTTAGGATTGACTCTACAAGTTCTCAAATTATTCCTCACATCATTGTCTATCACAAACTAATAAGGCACCTTAATCTTCGTAAATCATAGGCTACAAACAAAAAGAGCTCAATTTGAGTGAGAGTATTTCGTTAACCCTTGTAAAGACATAAAATTTCACAAAAGTGTAGGTACTTGACTCTTTCTGAAGAACAGAACCCAAATATAGAGTTTATGTTATGCATATGCATATGAATGATAGAATATATTAAAAGTTTGAAAAATAAATCAAGAAAAGAAAAAAATATTCTTTTTAAAGAAAACATTAGGCCTAGATAATATAAATTCATTTACTAGCCTGACTCTTAGCTATCCTCAATGAAATCATCAAACTATCATAATGTATAGATTCGTAAACCTACCATTATACACAATAAAAGAAGTCACCACCAATTTTTTTTGTGTAGGTATGATTAACCATTTAACTAAACTTGTTCTATTTTAAAGAAAAGTCCCAAGCTTAACTTAGGTATCTTTAAAAGGTATATTCTAGTCCATAAAACTAGATCAAGGTTGGGGAGTATGGTTGCATGTGAGAAAGGTTATAACATCATCACAACACCCATCTAAAGGATAGTACCAATTTGATTTAATATTATCCAAGCCTTAAAATGTATTTGTAATTTTACCAAGTAAATTTGACATTGAAAATTTATATTAAAGTTACTTTAATCGTTTGGTAGTAATTTAAAATAAATTTTTTCACCTCTTATGGAGACTCGTGTCCCACTCTAAAAAAGCTCCATCATCGGATTCATTAATATGTTTTTCAAGAATTAATATTTGAAAACAATCAATAAATCT